TATTGGGATCCAGAATAAAATGTGATGCAAAGAAAAACAGTAACATGCTAAAAGGTCAGAAAGACCTAAGTAGTTTCTTTTGAAGGCCTTTTGCTCTGCTGTAGATCACTTGTATGAATTCATGGCCACCAGGGCTTGATGCTGCCTAAATATCAGCTGTGCTCATTACTAGGCTGGACAACTTCTTGGGTGCTGGGAAAAAAAAGCACAATTTACTCAGTGCTTTTCTTGTCACCATTGAACTATTATTATTTCATCATGGCTTTAGGGACTATGCCTTCTGGTTATTTTCTTCCCAGCTGAGACAAAAAATTAAAATCCCAGTTGCTCTCCACTTCTATCATGCTTACCACACAGAGTTCCAAAAACATTATTTGCAGTGGCTATGTTATTAAAACTGGCTTTTCTGGGAGAAATCAGAACAACTGAAGCCTGGTTTCTGCAGATTTTATTGCTGTGTACAAATGTATAGACGGTGGTAATCCCGGCTCATGCCCCTATCTCTATCTCCTGTTCAGAAAGTTTTGCATGTGCTAAGTGGCTGACTCTTAATGCCTCACAGATCAGGTAACTGTTCAGCTTGTTCTATAGCCCTTCTTTTGGCAATAACATTAATATCCATTTCTACCTTCTACCTATTCAGCAGTTTTCACAAAATGTTTAATACCTTTTACACTTTTTTCCCTCTGGCCAGTTTCTTCAGAAAACCGTAGTATTTAAATCTTTCCAGTTCATGTGATTACGCTCCAAAGATTTTTTTCTAAAGGTATTACAAATCAGAAATTCAGTCTAATGAAACAGTTGTCTAAGTACAGCACTTCAGAAAATTAGATTTTTTCTATTACCAAAATACAAGAGAATGATCAAATAGCATTATACCACTGGTGTTCTGCTTTTTTTTTTAACCATATAAAACTCAAATTTGCAGAAATGTTCCTGAAAGTGGCACAAAAAGCAAGCATTCTTCACTTGTTCTGCAATATATAGGTGGTTTTAAATAGGCTTGTCTTTTTCCACTGCAGCATACTAGCTATTTATTGGATATTCAGGATATATCAGAAAACTCCCTTTCAGCTCCAGAAAGAGGGGAAGTTATGTGCATAGGTGACATTATGTAACTGTTCAGAAGTTCCTAGTAATGTTACTGTAGTCTAGAATCCACTACAAATTTTTCTGCATGCTTTCTTATCTTCTAAAAGAAAGAACGCCCTCCTTTCCCCATGATTCAGACTTTGGAGTCTCACCCAAACAGCATGCAAATATTTGCCGTGTCCTTAAACGGTTGGCCCAGTCGCTTAACCACTGAATGAGTCTTAGCTTTTGTTCTATGGGCTTTGCAACAGCGCTCAAAAGCTGAAGGGCTCTACTCTTCCCCCTTGTGCGGCTCGGCCCTCAGAAGAAATCCAGCCTGCGAGAGCCCTGCCCATGCTGTATGCGAGTGACCTCTTCAGCCAAGGCAGCGTCATTACAAAAAGGTCACGGTGCAAAACTGTGTTGACTTCCAAAATGAATAATTTTTGAGGTACAGCTCCCATACTATTCAGAAAAGCAGAGTTTACAATAAAATTTAAAGAATTTAAAGCTTATTTCTAGATTTCTTGTAAACATCTTGATATTAGCAGCCTCTGAAATGAATACAACAATGATGTAAAAGACCTAAGCAAAAGAAAGCTTCATAGCTTGCGCACAACTTCCTAGTTCAGTTGATATTTATGTACAGTTCTGGAGTCATATCACCGATGTAAAGACTGATGTTCTGCCAGATAATATAAGACCAACAAGGTACCAAAGCATTACAACAGTGCATCTTTGCTATTAAAACACTGCAACCTCATTGCTACTGTCAAACTCAACTAAAATGTCTATGCTGTATTTCATAAAAGAAATCAATAACTTCTACTCGGTTCTGAACAGAACTGTACTTGTACTGATGGCAGGAAACACAGAGTATGTGAATCTGATGGCACCAGTGAGGTTTTTTTGCTGTGTTATGAAAGTAAATGGCTGTTGATCCTAGGGTCTATGTAATGGACGTTTAGTAATTCTGTTTTTCGGGATCCTCCATGTCTGTGTGCTGCCTATTCTGGGATCATTTTCACCCCACAAAACACATTTTGTAACTCAGCAGGATTGAAATGTGTGTTAAGGTGTAACAGAGTGATGGCGGTAAAAACATTCAAGCCAACAGAACCAGCGTTTCATTCTAGTAAAACAGTATTTTCTACATACTGGCTCTCAGTACCTTAATAGTCTTATTAATGACTTGATAAGTAGTACCCTATAAAAAAGCCTTTGTGTCTCTTGCCTTCTTAGCAAAAAACTTTGTAAGAAAGTTTGCTGTTCAAGTTATAGAAGTACAGATGTTTTCAAAATTCAAGTACTATGAAAACTAAGTTCCTTTGAGGCAATATGTATCATGGTGAATTCTTACCAGTAAGAAAGACAGTTCAGGGTTTTTCTTCTAGTTGCATTACCTGTGGATATGAGTTGACAGGGCAACTCTTTCTCCCTGTGCCACCCATTGGCATAGCAATGGAGGAATGGGTAGGATTTACCTCACCTGTTATGACAAGCTAATAATAAAGTGTTTAGCCTGAAGTATTTGCCTTAATTTCTTGTCAATGGACCACACAGGTGACTCTTGGTAGATGTGCTTCTCTCTAGTGACTGAAGATGGAGTCTAGGGTGACTTGGTCAGGTTAACTTTCTAACCTACAGATGGGTAAAATTAGGTGAAAAGGTCTTTAGTATCAATTAATAATAATTATTTTTCTTCCTTAAGGGTGGTCCCTCTGTCTGTTGCTGCTACTCTGCTTTACAACTAAAAGTATCAGTAACAGTATGTTAGCCATAATATTACCTAACCCAACAACAACAACAAAAGAACTACTAGAAGCTAACAGTTGTGTTGCCCTAGTGTCTACATCAGTACCACTGGCAGGCTGCAATATCTTAGTGAGGGGGAAGGAAGAATCTAAGAGAAGAAACACAAGGAGGAGGATTCCCTGGCTGTCATAATTGTGCGACTTCTACAATTCCCCTTTCCTGCTTCATGAAAGTCTGAAGGAGAATGAACAACTGTAAGGCTTTTGCACCCATACTTGTGATTTTTGTCCTTTTCTCCCCGGCAGATATAAAAAAACCAAACAAACCAAACACCTATTAATGACATGACATTGCTGTTGTATTGCTTGATGGGCATTGCAATTTAGACATTACAATTATATTTTTGGGGTAAGCTTCCTGACCTGTTGGCAAGGCTCATGATGTAATTCCTTTGCTTAGCATACTTAGATCCACAGCTTGTCTTGGTTTAGAAGATCATTTGGCTTCAGTTTGTAGGACAACCTAAGCTCAAGTACATAACCAATGTACTCAACGTGTTGAGGTACAACTTCTTCCACTTTGTATACAAGAACAACTGAACACACTTGATGTTGCTATAAATGATCTTTTGACCCTGTAAAAATTTCAGTGTCTCAATATTCAGCTTGTCTGGGATATGTTTTCACTGAAGACTTACGTGAGGATAAAGGCAATGCAGTTGTCTTTAACAGTCACAAACAAGACTCTCTGGAGATATTTTCTGCAAAGTAACTTCACCTTGGAATGAAAGCATATCTAAGCACATGTAGCCATAACATGACTTTTCAAAACTGTACTTTTTTAATCTTGCTGACAAAGATCTAAAATCTTCAAACTGACAGCTCTCTTTATTCTCTCTGCAAACCTGTACCAAAAGGTACAGATTCTAAAAATATGTTAAAGACTGATTTCAAAGGAGTTCAATGATGGTATGTATGAAGACACTGTTTAGTGATGGATATGAATTCCTAAGCTTGCATAGCCACAAGGCCTATACATGTGACTATCTGCAAGCAATCAGGGGTAACAATGCAAAATATTAGCAATTTCAAAATGTTAAAGACTTCACAGCAAAAGATATGAAGAAATTTAAAGTACAAGTGTTACAGGAAAGTGATTGCTACGTTCCTTTAAGGAAGTGTTGAGAACTTTAAAAGAGTTATGCAGTCTTCAGATGTAACAAAAGAACCTTACAGGAAGTTCTGAATGGGGAACTACAAATTCTATCCTGTCTGAAAAGGACTTTTCCTTTGAGAATATCAAATATGCTCAGTTGACTTTAAACCAAAAGAGTTTGTGAGTAACTATTAAACTGGAGGTATAATCTACCTCTCTGTGTGTTAAGCAATCACATTAGCATTAAGGCTCAGACCTGTGAAGTGGCAAATGCTGTCTGTGAAGTGCTGGTTGACCTTAATTTCTAACAGCTTTAGAAGAAAAGGAAGACAGTGAAAAGTATTATGAGTTAATTCAGCCCTCACTGATACTGCAAATGTAGCTTTTATAACTGTTATAAACACATGTTAATAAAGAACCTAAACTAAACAAACTTATGCAGCAGTTACTTTTATGTTTTATCATCAAACAAAAGCAAATTCACATAAATTTCACTACAAAGAATTGAAAGAAGTTTTGAAATGGCGACCATCTTAGTGTCTTCTGGAAATGTCTTACACAAGAAGATATTTGGCTAGATTTAGAAAATTTTAGGTTATCTTATAGTACAGACCCTAAATCCCATTGGTATGGGGCATGGAGTCATTCTAAATAACTGACAGTAAAAACTGTATCAACTGCCTGATACATGTTCTTCAGGGGCAGATTGTGAATTCTTTCACCTATATTAATGAGGTAACAGTCACACAGAATGTTGTTAGAGTCACTTCTTTTTCTAATTTTGCCATGTGGCTCTTGATTTAAGTAGAACTTTGTATCCCAAGCAGAAAACAATGAAACACTCTAGAGAACTAAAGAGGTGAGAATCTGTTAATTCCATGTGCTTACTAACCACTGCACGATTCACTGTTCTTATGTGACTATCTCTGAATAGGTCCACTATGATACCTGTCCTTAAGTATCTTCCACAATTAGAAGATGATGATATCTGGCAACTTAGTTAAAAGGCACACGCTTACCTGACATGAGGGACTGGGTTGCCAGTAACTCTGCACTCCAACAATACTTTGTTTCCTTCGGCAACTTCCTGGCTCCGGAGCTTCTGAGTGAATTGAGGTGGTGAAGATTGATTCTGTTCCATGTTGATGAACGGGTGGCAAAGGACCGTTTCGCTCTGAGTGATGCTCTCCCTTTCAGAAAAGTGTTCTCCATTCAGATGAACTCCAGGCAATTTTGCCTCAGGCTCAGTCTCTTGATGGGGCTTGTCAAACTCCTGAGTCACTGAGGTACTTAGAGCTGGCTGTTTCTTTTTAGGAGACAGGTATCCACTGTCTGGAGAAGAAGAGTCCCCATCAGGACTTCGGCCTCTTGTCTTTGCTGCCTGTCTAAATATAGAAGACAATTCCTCTATGAATGTGGCAGCTTTATCACACAACTTGTTCCTGAAAGGAACTTCTCCCTGGGATGCTGATTCAGACTTTGGGCTTGTCTTAGGCACACCTGGACCATCTTTCTCCGAATGTTTCAGGCTTCTAATGAAGCTGGGACTAGCAGTTAGCAAAGGTGAGGTGCTTGCTTGCCTCCTGGAAACTGTGACAAAATTACCTGCTGTTTGAGGTGCGGTGGATTGCTCTTTCTGATTCCTTGGGAGAATGTGACTTGCAGGAGATGAAGTCAGGCTGCTTGCTTGAGGCCTCTGTAAAGCATCTTGCTCATGCATTTTGGTATCCCTGAAAGAAGGGCTTTCTGAAGTGCTAGAAAGAGAGGTGTTGAAATAATGAGTAAAGTCTGGTGCTGCATTCTGATCCTCCTTCATGGAATTGGCAATGGCTTCCTGAGCTATATCAAGGCTCTTACATATCTCCTCCTGGGTAAGGAAGGCAGAAATTTCATTTGAAAATTCCCCATTCTGTATGTCTGATACAGAATCATAGAAAAAGTCATGGTAGGATGAAGCTTCTGACATAGTTTCAGGATATCCCTTATTGGTGCCTCTCTCTGCACAGTAAGCCTCCTTCAGCATTAAGGAAAGAGGCAATGCCTGGCCACAGCTTCTGTCTTGCATTCTGGAAGACACAAATAAAATTCCTTAATGAAAAACCTTCTCAATAAAAAAATCCTGTTATATCCTGGTTCCCATAAGGTAGACACAAAACTGGGAGAAGAGCAGAACCCAACGGTGCATGAAATACCATAAACCTTGGTTTCTGTTAGAATGGGCCAGGGCTGCAAACTGTCTAGGTGGAAATGAGAGCACTTAGGAGTAATTTTTCTCAAGCATCTTCCTTCAGAACTGTGAAGGCATCCTTTGTCTGTACATTGCCTAGCACAAGCTCAACTCCACTAGACCAGTCTGAGTGTTTTGTTATTTCACATCTGATTTGTTATTTCACATGAATGCTATTACACTTCATTTTTTCTGTTTTTAGGCTTGTGATGATTTGGGGGATATACTTACTTTTCTCCTTCCCATAACACTGCCTTTCAGCCACTAAACCATCAAATTCCAAGAGGAAAAGAGTGTCCTAGTTGAGAACATACACAAGGATGTTTGGATTAGAAATTCCAAGTTATCCTTTCTGTTTAATGTAGATAATGTGTTTAATATTATTTTATTTCTTGTGTTAACATTTGTAACTTGTTACCTTTCAATACAGTTTAGTAGCACTTTCCTCAACACTAGTAAGTGGAATATCAAACTACCACATGCTAAAAGTAAAACACTAAAGAAATAGATTTCACAACCTATGTATCATCCATACCATCTAAGTGTATAATGCATATTCTGTACCAGTTTCACAGAGTACAGAAGCATCTATACATCTCCAGTTTTCCCACAAGATTTTAGAATGAGAATGAGCGTTCTCAGCCTCTGTAAAGCCAGCAAGAAACAAGACATCAGTGAAACCGCTCTTGTCCCAAGGGAAGAATCTGCCTGAAGCTATCCTTGTTGAAATTTATTTGTCCTGCTGGTCACTAGATTGTGAGTGATCTGATCTTGAAAGTAATTGCTGCTTCTGTGAAACATTTAATTAAGTTGAACATCAGTGGTTTTAATTGCCCTTGAAAATTCTCTTCTTCTTACGATAATTTCTACAAGGTTAATTCTGCACAAGATTTTAAAAAACATTATATTTTCTCTTCATGGTTCAAAGTATTTCTCCACTGATAGACAGGTGGCTTGACAGTCATGAGATGCACTCGGATGTATTTTACATCAGCTTGTGCAAGCTCCAATTCCCTTTAGTCACTTCACCAGGGCTCACCCGGCATGTAGTCATTAACTGACTGATAGATTATTGGAATTCTTGGCCTGGCGTATGCATCTCCTGATATGCCTGCTTGTCTTGCCAACAGATTACAACCCAACACATAAAAGAGAAGTATAAGGAAACCAAAGCATTTTAGGATTTGATATATGTTTTTATAGAATACAGTGATAGGCTTATTCTTTGCTGGGATTACATCTTTCTTTCTTTTTATCTGTGTTTACGGGGCAACAAATTTAGAAACCATGCCAATCTGTTGTCAACAAAATCTAAAAAAGTATATACAGTATAACTGACTACCACATAGCAGCTTTAAAGAATGAATCTGAGAAGCCTAGCAAACAGTTGGCCTAGAGGCTCAGCTGTTAAGGCATAAACTGGATGAATGCCAGGGAACCAAGGGTTAAACCTGGAGAGTTTCTGTCTCCTTAATCTTAGCTATTTTTTAAAACTTTGTATTCAAATGAACAAAGGTGCTAGTTTACTATTTAGATAACTGGTAAATATCTGTGCTTCAAATGATACTTTTATTTAAATCTGATTCATACTGGGTCCTAGCTTGCTCACATCTCAAAGAAGTGATACATTACACACTCAGATAAACTCCTCTGACTTCCAACACCAAGCTGCTCTGGTGTTTCAATGGGTTATGGGTCAGAGGACAATTTCATCTATTGCTAGCCACCCAATACAATGATTAAAATGAATGTATTATGAATTAGCATATCTCCTCCTGATACTCAGTTTTTTCATTAGAAAAATATAATGGCTACATATGTCATAATTTTCAAAGCCAAGTGTCTAAATTTAGGTAAATCAATCTGTAGCTGGGTATTTAGGTAAAGTCGATTAAATTAAACATGTGCTAGTTATTGCCAATTTCTGATGCTGGCAAGCCTCCTTGGTGAGAAAGGTCTGGTGCCTAAAAATGGAATTATATGTCTAGCTTTAGACAGCTGAATGGAAGCTTCCAGTATAAGGCTTTTTTTCAGACACACTGTAACACATAAAACCACTATTCTTTTAGAGAAATTTGTAACCATAGCAAACTGGAGGTAAAGTATCACAAACCGTATCAAGTAGCATATAAGATCATAATCAGAAATTCTGAATGCTATTTCTAGCTTCTCCAAGTTAGACTATAATGTATTTATAACAGTTTTCATCATCATTACTTATTAGGTAACCTGCAAAGCCATATACTGTATCATTTAAAGAAACAAACATAAAATACAATGCAGATCAGTGTTTAGCTATACTTCCAGCCTTATTACGTATAAACTATTTATGGGGTCCTATTTGCTATATATATTTAAAAATTACTTACAAGTAAACATACATTTTAATATCACGCTGTTTAAATATTTATTCAGAAAATAATATAGATGCTCTAAGGAATATGGTAAATAGTAAATTAAAAATGTACTGGATTACAATAATCTCAGAAAACATTTGAATAATTAAATTAAGATATTCAAGAGATAAATAATGAAATATGGAAAACCATAGAAAATCAAAGGACTCACTTCAAGAAATGTATAAGCATCCTAAATCTGCAGAACCTGTCCAATGAAAAATTATTACTTAAAAAAATATGACCCAAAGCCAATCTGTTCAAAGGAATAATATGAAGGAAGAAATATATCTAGTAAGTTTTTAAAACAAAAAAGGCACATATTTTTCCTCTGAATTTTGAAATCCTGCAAAATTACTCCCCAAAGTACAATAATTAAATTTAGCAGAAAATATAAAACAGACCTTACAATGAACAAGCCAATATGAAGAGTCTCAAGTACAGTAATAACGGGTAAAGTTGTTTTTTTCCTTCTTTATCTAAGTAGGCTTAAGTTGCTCCAGCTATTCACCAAAGATTGCTTGGTCCTCAGTAAGCATTGAGAAGACTGTGGCCTGTGCGTTACATCTGTCCTCTGTAACTATGTAATTCTTACCCCACTCATCTATATTTGGTAACTGAACTCATGTTTCAGCAGACTGCCGCTATCTGGAATTCCAGTAGAAGCAACATTAGGCCTGGAAGTGGTACAACGTACAGTGCACTTACTACCCAGAAATTCAGAGAACTTAATCATTTAAATGAGCAATTTCTGTTGTATTTAACACAGTATTTTAGGCTGTTTTAAAATATTTTTTTTATTTTTATTTTAAAATATTATTCTGGAATTTTAGGATGTGATTTTTGCTCATTATTAAAGGGCCTGCCTCCACAGGTCATAGAAAACACATAGTGTGTGAAAGTTAATTTTTTAAAAATAATTTCTTTCTACAGCATTTTGTCTTAACAGTTTTTTAATTTATGACAATAAATTAAATAATTGGCTTTTTCTACTAAAAGTAGTTTAAAATAATAGCTTCCCTGTGTACCTTAAAATCTTCCAGGGAAAGAAAAACCCACAGAATCATAGAATTATTTAGGTTGGAAAAGACCCTTAACATTTTTAGAGTTATCAGCAGAAATGGTACATCTTTTTGTAATAATAAATAATTATTAATCTGTAACCATATACTACACCGTATAAATAAATTTACCTACTGAATTTTCACATCTCAAATTAAGTAATCCTATCATCAGAAAAGAAGTCTCTCCCTCAGAAATGACACACAAAATCCCTGGAAAACATGTATGCTTTAAAAAGAGCCCACAACTCTGACACACGTATTAACTCTGAAACAATCAAAATTTATTTCTGGTTTCTATAGCCTTGTAGAGTGTAATGAGTAACACTGTCAATTCTCCCTTACTGTCTTTCCTAAGGAAGTACTTTCACCTCATTAAGAACTCCTGTGAGAGTTTTGTCTCAGGGAAGAAAATTTTCTGTCCAAGAGCACACTTGTACCTTTTCAGGCACATCATTTCCTTCGATACTCAGTGAAAGGAAGAATTAAACATGAAGACTGCTGCTTTAATCCACAGCCTTTATCACATAATTTCCAGAAATAAAAGCAATGTGTGAGTAAGATTGTTTCTGCCAGATCCCAGCCTATTGGGAGTCAAATTCTCTAGAGTAGATAGGAGAAATTGTAGTTCCAAATAGATGTTATAGACCTCCATCCCTTCTGCCAGCATCCATTATATCTGCTTTCTGACTTGAATTCATTTAGTGGGCTGGCACTTATTCTTAGCTCAAGGTCTTCTAGATATTGCCTTGCTTTTTTTACTAAAGTTTATTCCTTGGCAACAATGGAAGTGCACGGACCCACTGTTGTGACAGAAGTGCACAAGAGACTCATTGCTTCCTATTGGTGCCAGACCATCTTTATGTGTTACCAAGTGCTAGTATCACACATTTTATTTCAGTGGTTAATATAGTATCTTTCTTTGCATCTTCATGCAGGCAATCACTGTCCCCTAATCAGACTTTCAACAGATTAACTGTTGGATTAGGAATACTTACTTACTTCACAATGTATACAAATGCCATTCTTATGAATTGGGATCCTTACCATGTTGTAATGAAATTAATAAAAAGGATTTTATTTCAGGTCATTTTATAGTAATTTCAGTGTCAAATAAGAACAGAATCGTCATTCTAAAAATTCCAGGCTAAAAACTGTACACAAAAAAGGAGATGGTCATCTAAGAGTTAACCACTGTATGCCTAATTTTTAAGCAGTCACCCCACAGAGTGGAATCCAGACCCTGTGTCAGGCACCCAGCCTCTCCACTAAATGCATAAGAGTTAGCCACCTTGGAATGGGAGCCAAAAATAGCCTGCATATAAACAGCAACAAACTGCCTTGGGCTATCTTCAGCATTTTCTACAGGGAGGGGTGGATGGAATCCTGGTTCTTGGAATTATATGTTTAAATTGTCACTTCTTGGAAGAAAACATATCTGCCTGGAGACACCTGCGGAGATAATTTTTAAAGGAACTGAGCTTTTACAAATAAAGCTGCACTGGTGACGTGTGCAAATCAGGTAGACCTACTACCTTCTGTACAGCATGAGAGAAACATTTGCCCAGAAAGTGAAAGATCTGTGTTCAGTTTGTTCCCAGTGGCTTCAAGTCTTAATGAAATACTCATTGTAACTTGCAAACTTATTAGGGCAAGGTTTTATACAGCTGTATTAAGTCATGAAAAAATTTTCCCAATGTCATTCTACTAAGATTTAGGGAATGCTTATATCCTTTGACCTGTACTGAATCTTTTGGAAACTTACTTAATTTTTGATCAAGACCTTCCATTTTTATTGCAAAAATGTGTATGCTCCTTTACAAAGGTGGTAGACAGCAGTAAATCACTATAAACAAATGCTAGAGGGAGTAAAACTTTGGAACAACTACACATTTTGAAAGATAAACGTGCAATAATATGCAATGTTGTCATAATTTACCATCTACATGTAAAATGTAAAAATGAATAATAACATACAAACAAGATAAAGGATATTAAGCCTGATATGTTCACTCCATTCCTATTGCAGTATCGTGGCAAATTCAACTGATGAACAGAACTCCCCAGAGATAATACTTTTCATTACCGATAGATTTGATGGAGCATAGCTAGTCTGGTCTCCTGAAACCTTAATAATTTTCTAATACTATGCAGTCCGAGTCATTCAAAACCTCATGTCACAAACTATAAAGCTTTTCTGGTTGTACAAGCTTTCCATTCCATCTGATGAAGATGTTACACAGTACAAAAGATTTTCATTGTTAATTGGGCTAAAACCAAAATATAATAACAAGTATGGCACTTAACCCTAGTAATTTGTGTACTTACCTGAGAAAGTAGAAAACCTCTGTTAAGGTCTCTGTTATTTTGCATCTTACTCTAAATAGCAACAGGATAAAATATGAAAAGATTGGCAATCTCCTTTCCAAGACCTAAAGTCAAACACCAGTCTGTAACCTTCAAATAAGAATCTTTAAGAGCTAGTTCTACTTTAAGCAGCAGAGAGAGATACAACCCCCTTTACTAGTTGCCACAAAATCCTCCAGTTATTTTGAGTCACTAACAGACATTTTTTTCCACCTCTGAAAGTTTTAAAAAAAAAAAATCTGGTTGCCTGTGCTTAAACATACTAGGTAACTGCCTGCTGTAATTTGATGCCATACATAGCTTAGATTTTTGTTTTCCATTAGTATGCAAACGTTTAATTTTACTTGTAAATATATTTGTAAATTAATTTGTTACATAGTTAGAGCTAATCTGTGTTTTTTATAGAGTGCATTGGAAGTACCTATCTGTTGTATATATATGAAAGTGTCAAACATAGTGAAATAGTCAAGGAGTGTCAATGGTACTCAAACACCCTTTTTCCAAGTTTCTGGAAGAGTTTCCCTGAGGATTTTTCTAGAAGGAAACTGTAGAAGTGCGATGGAAAAGCTCATACACCTTCAGCTTTGCTAGCAGTGATACCAGTACTTGGTCTAGAAGAAATACAACAGCTGTTAAAATTAAACCGTTAAAAAAACCAGTAATAATAACTCACACCCTTCTTTTACAGAATACTTCATCAACAAAGTGACTGAGGGGCTGCAAGTAGCAACAGTTAAATAAAATTAAAAATACCAAAACTTTCCAGAATTACCACAGCTGTGAGTAGGAAAGGAAACCATAAAATGGAAAAGAAGGCTAATGAGCAACTCAAAGAACTAATAGATTCTTAAATTGGGGAAGAGGTGAAGGCTTCTCAGTCCAAGATCTATGGTATCTTAAGATCTTGCTGAGGCAACTTACCTCAGACTGAGAAACCTGTAATTCAGCTTCCCTTATCTCAAGACTACTAGAACATTTGTAATACTATTCTCTCTCAATATGCCATATTTTTTAATTTATCACTAGCCAGACAGGTAAAAACTGAACTCATGGACAAATTGCCACTTTACTGGTGAGTGTCTTCAACATCTCTTAAAATCTCAAAGGAATTTTGTTAGGAGTTTGCACCCCTGTGCACTGGGATTAATACACTTTTGCATCTGGGGCTGTGAAGCACACCGTGCCCTCGCAGGATTTAGCACTAAGGTGAAGAAACGTAGAGCAAAGCTCTTCGATCCTTGCCAATAAGCACTGTGCCTGGGGTAAAGATGTCCCTGTCCAAGTTACCTGAGAGTGGCAGTGGCCTGGGCTGGGTGGTGCAGTCAGCCAGCCGCGCGAGACTGGCAGCCCCTTTGCTTTTTGCCAGGCCCCGGCGTTCATCAGTCTCCCTCTAGGTTCACGACACTGTTACACTCGTTTCCGAGCCTGCCTTTCTCCTTTTTAAGCCCTTCCACTCACAGGCCCATGTACGCGCTCAGTGGCCCAACGCGAGGCGCTGAAGGAGAAGGGCGGGAGGAGGGGTCGGCGCTGAGGGAAAAGGGCGGGAAGGGCGTTCGGCGCTGAGGGAAAAGGGCGGGAAGGGCGTTCGGCGCTCAGGGAGAAGCGCTGGAGGGGGGCCGGCGCTGAGGGAGAAGGGCTGGAGAGAGGTCAGCGGCGGGAGAAGCGAGGCGGGTGCTTGCCGCCGGCTGAGGGGCGGCGGCGCCAGAGGTGAAGAGGTCCCGCGCGGAGCCGGCGGGAGCGGCCGCCTCAGGCGGAGGAGCCCGGCAACCCCTCGGGGTGAGGGGGAAGGCGCCGCGGGGAAAGGGCGGGGAGCGACCGCCGGAGCCCACTGCCCCGCCTGGCGGTGGCGACCGGGAGGGTGTCGTGGCGCGGTGGAGGCCCACAGGACAAGTTCGGCTGTCAGGACGTGTTGCTGTGAAGTGTGCCATCAAACGTTTCGGCCAAGGGCCAGCATCTACCTTAGGCCCTGCACTGTTGACACATTTCTCTGAAATTCCTCCTGAGAACAGAGAACATGCACACACAATCTGATTTACAGGTACTGATATTTTTGTAATAGAAGTCCTTAAAAATCCTTATAGGCTAGGCTCACATCTGTGCAGAAAGCCTTGAGAAGGCCTTTTCACTGCCTGATTCCATTAAAATATTTGAGGCATATTATATAATAGTATTAAAGGACAAGAAATGAGGTGTCAACAAACTGGAATTGACAATCTCATGTGGTTTAGTTAGAAAGGCCGTTCCACGTTTTGGCATTTGGGAATTATACAAATAAGAATTTAAGCAAGCCTATAATACAGCTGATGTTGTTAAAGTACAAAAAAAACAAGAAATCCATTTCATGTTGAATTAAATGTGGGAAAGGAGCAAAAGTTACAGAAGGCAGGACTGATGCAATCTCACAAGGGTAGAGAAAGCAATGATAAAATTTGGCAGTGTAGCACATGGCAATATAATTGAGATTGGATAGTCTAGCATATAAAGATTTCAGATTATATGATAAATTTAAGAAATCTAAGCACCCTTTTTAAGGTATCAGCTCAGTGTAGTCCTACATAATTTTCTAAGGAAAGAATTGAAATAGATTATAACTAAAACACTCTAGTGGAAAATCCATGTCACAAAAGTAACATTATAACTTAAACAGACTGATACCTCATGCAAACCGTAAGTGTTAGGTAGTTAATTTAAGTGTCTCGACTGTGCAAAGCAGAATTAACACTAGTCTGGTTCTTAATTTTAAGAGTTTGCTTTTAAGGAGTCCACATTCAAGACCTTAGCTGTAATTTTGTCTAGTTTCATTTAACTTAACTGCTTCAACTGTTACTCTTCTCTAAATTGATTTTGTCCTGTATTCTGTAAATGTTAGTCATATTCATGTGGCTTTACCATTTCTTTTATTTTGTAAATTAATTACACTTGTTATCGCTCCCTGTACCATACCTGAAAAGTTATCCATCCCTCTATGCCCTGTGTAGTATGCAACTGCTTAGCTTTAAGTATGTGCTTCAGTCCCACTCACATTAGCTGTTACCTGTATACCTTTGTGAAAAATATATTTCAAACAAATCTGATTTTTTTTTAATAAAAACTGTTCGCACTTATGCATATCATAAAACTCTCTTAGCTGGGCAGTGAGAAAAATGCTTTAAGCAACACATGGAGTCTTTTTAAGTTCTATGTACTAAGCCTTTGTCAATGCAGCTCAGTTAGACTTTCCTCTTCATAAGGAAAATGATCTCCATTAGATTAATTTTAGCTGCAAGCCTATAGTGCATATTTTACATGTTTATATTCACAGCCAGTCATGTACTCAGATTCCTTCTTAGCATGTGAAATGTGTTTGATCTGAGCAAGCACAGACAGCACTGAAGTTCAATACCAGATTAAAGCCTCTTTCTCTACAAGGGGATTAACTTTGAAAAAGGAATGTGCTTCATTCAACAAACTGTGAAATGCTGATCTCTAGGAAAATAAATATTTACTTCTCTTTTTCCTTTTATCATAAACCAGCTTTACATTACTTTACCTTTTTAACAACTATTGCAAGCTGTCTTTTGATTATGCAAATGTATTCCTGCAGTCTGTAGGAAGGCTCAGCCTGCCACCTAAAAACATGTCTGGTGCAAGATAAGGGTAGACAGCTGTGTATTGCTGCCAGAAGTCATAGTGCTAAACAAAGACAAATGTGCAAGAATGTGACATCCATATTTCTGGAAAGAGGAATGAATGCTGAAGGAGGAACACTGAACAGCTGATTACTTCCGCTGTTAACCTCAGTAGGACTAAATTTTAAAAAAAAGTTAAAACACAGCTGGCGATTTAGAATGAACTGCTGAGAGATTTGTCAATCACTAGCTTCTATTAGGGAGACACTTAGCTTGGGGGTATTTTTGGAAAGAGTTTCCATGGAGTTGGAGAGACTTCAGGCCTTTTGCTTTTTTCTGATTGGCCAACGGACAGGTGCTGAAAAAGGTGGTGGCAGAAATATTCCAGACATGGTGAATATCATATGGACAAGCAATGGTAACTTACTTTTTGTTTTATGATAGGCTGTATCATGTAAAAATATAACAGAATTTTTCCTTTCTCTCTTTCTGATGTGAAATGAAATGAGGTCAGACAAAGCACAGATTAATGTCGGCTGAAAATACAACCACCCATGTTTACAATTTGGGAGTGGTGTATTCTACCATAGCACATGTTTAATGGCTTAAAACTGAAACCATATATTTTTTCTTCCACGGTGAAGTGTTCTGTGTACTTCTGATTTACAGATACCTGTTTTATGTTTAAAGAGCCTGTGTCCTTCAAACAGAAACGTATTATTCCATTATAAATGAATCATCTACTTTTAGAAATAAATCATATAGCAAACAAATTATTTTTTAAAATAGGTGCTTTTAGGAATGTTATAAAGTAAGCTTCAGAACTTGGGAGAAAGCAGGACCCTTTCAGTGGCTATGAAGACTTGTGTGGCAGCAGTGAGAATCCTTGTATTTCTTCATTTTGGAGTCAATTTATAGAGCTTGGACACCCAAATTGAACCCACTGGTTCTGTCAAAAAGAAGACTTCGAATTTTGGCAGAGTATTGATTTTGTACTTATAAGTACATCTTTCTTAAGGCATTACAGCTTCAGAGCCAATGACTGAACATTGTGTGGGTACAGCCCTGATACTTTGCCATTGATGGACTGGAAAAATGGAGGTCCAAGATTTTTAAGTAAAACAAGCTGTTAAACACGTTCTCCATTTAGGCAGGTCAAGCCTCTTCCTTTTCCTAAAGAGTGATCATTTCTGGGGGAAAAAAAAATAAAATTTGCATAGTCAAATTGAGTACATTTAGAAGGCAGTGATGAAAAGCTGTGTAAAAATATATTCCAGACATAACACGATAGGTTCTACTTGCCATCAAACATGAAAGATGTGTGATAAGGTATGCACAACTCCTTCCCTGTTCTGTTTGATACCTTGGTTAGAATCAAGATAAAGAGGCAAAGTATGCAGTTACCTGCAGGTATGTTTTTATATGCTTTAAATTCTACAGCATCAAGATGTGCACCTTGTATGGGATACTTCCTGTCAAAAAAGGAACGGTTAATTCTAAATTCATGTATTTCATAGTTGTTGAATGAGATGTCACTTGAGTTTCAGTGATAATTTATACAGCAATTTTCTGGTCCTTATATGAAGCTGGTGGTATTAGTCTAGAAAAGGAAGTCAGACTGATTGATTAGTGAACTAATGAACTCTCTTTAAAAGGTGAAATGTTACAGATAATCATGCAAAATATTCAACCAGTCAGAAGAAGAATGTGGACCTGGAAGGAACCAGGCCTGAATAGCCAAGACAACCACCCTTTAATGATGATGCAAGTATGCATATGAGAGTTAAAAGCTGTCAGTGAGACATCTGAGGGAGCCACTGAAACAATGATTCACCCAAGTGGATTACTAGAAATAACACCTTCAAACTGTTTGGAATACAATTTCTGGCTTTGCCATCAAAACTTGACTAGATCCAAAGAACCCGCAGATGAAAGACAGGAGGTGTTTGTGATGCTTTCGCAAAAGGCTCTGAAATTCTAAGATGCCATATAAGCAATCTAATACCTATATTATT